ACAGAATGCCCCTTGCTGTACCCAAAATTTTGAACATACATCAGAAACTTCAGGGTCAAACCTTACAACAGATTTGACTCTTTCTCAACAAATTTGATATAATTTATACCTGAAAGGACAGACGTTCAATTTCCAGAATAATAGAAGGGTTAAAAGCAAACCTTCATTCCATTGTCAATACTTTCCAGTGACAACATTGAAGTCATGAACTTATCAACCTTTCATTTTTGGTGGCTTTTGATTTGTAATCCTCTTATTTTTCTGCTTGATGAGTAATATGAGCAAGATCTTGGGATATTTATAGCCCCGGTTAAATTTTCTGGGGACCATTGAACCCTCACTACTTATTAATATGGTCTCAAGTGGAAATGGTACAAAGGGATAACTAGTTACAAACCCAAGACAGCCTTTGTTTATGTTATGAGCAGATATTGTCATCTTCCTTTATATTAGAATCAATACAAAATTGAAAAATGTAATCTAAACTAATTTAAACAAGATAAATTAAATTAAATTAATCTAAACTAATCCAAACTTTTTAATTATAATTTTAATGCTGGCTCTTTGGCTTTGAAGCAGAGATGAGCATTGCCCCCTAGAGTTGGGAACGACTAGCACATATAGAGGGGAACCTTTACCTTTAATCTTCAGAATAAGAGGTTACTTGACTGAGATGGCCATGAATTAAGATTTGGTTTGCTCAACATATTTATGGCATGACAAGGTTAAAGTAAATGTTGATTTTAATCATCATTTTGTTTGATGTATCAGCTTATGAGTTTGGAATATATATGTGATGATGCCTCTCTGGGTGTCTCCCCTGGAAACTTTTTTTTTTTTTTTTAAGGAAATGGCGGTGAATCTAAACTGGTGGATTTATAGTCAAATAATATCTTTTAATTTTGGTGATCCTATCCTCAAACTCAAAGAGGAGATAGAATCAGAAGGACATGTCTGCCATTGGTTTACATATGTACAATTGATAGAAAGATTTAACTTAAATAAAAAAAAATATGGGTTTGACATTGTAAAAAATGTATTGGAAATCCTACTGCTTGGTAGCGATGAACGTATTACTAAGCTTTATAAATTGCTATTGAATTTGAATTTGGACAATGGCTATGTAAAGCATGGCATAACTCAGTGGACAAGAAACTTTGAATATAATGTAATGCTTGAACAATGGGAGACTATTTGGACAAAAGGTCTAAAAATTTACACTAAATTATAATTTAAAAGAAAACTTTAATGAGAGGATGTATTGTTGGTATTTAACACCAGATAAGTCATCAAGAATTTATAAAGGTATTTCAAATGAATGTTGGAAATGCAAATATAAAGAAGGGAACTTCCATTGTTTATGGTGGACATATGAAAAAGCAAATATATAATAAGCATAAATAAGATATATAAAAAGCAAATATAATATAGAAAATTCTCAAAGTGAATATAAAGATAAACCATAAACTTTTCTTCTGGGTTTAATGGAAAAAGACTTGGAAGTTTTTTGTTTTTTTTGGGGGGGGGGAACTTCAATGTTATATATTGAAGATATATAACAAGATTTATTTATTATTTATTTATTTATTTTATTAAATTTGTATACCGCCCTTCTCCTACTGGACTCAGGGTGGTGCACAGCCAAAATAAAAACATCCCAATACAAAATTTAAAATTTGTTAAAAGAATTACACAACTTTGGCCTAAATTTAAAATCCCAATTAAAATCCATAGACAATTAAAAATCTAACATCTCAAAAAGGGGGGGGTTACGTCAGCCCTGCTTGGTGAAAAAGAAAGGTTTTTAGGGTACGGCGAAAAGCCCGGTATCATACGTATCTCTGGGGGCAGATCATTCCAGAGGGCAGGTGCTGCAACAGAGAAGGCCCTCCCCCTGTGGGTTGCCAGCCGACACTGCCTGGCTGATGGCACCCTCAGGAGTCCCTTTCTGTGGGAGCGTACTGGCCGGTGGGAGGCTATCGGCGGCAGAAGGCGGTCCTGCAAATACCCAGGTCCAATTCCATGGAGCACTTTAAAGGTGGTAACCAATACCTTGAAGTGCACCCGGAAGACCACCGGAAGCCAATGCAGCTCACGCAGGAGAGGCATCACATGGGAGCGCCCCCTCGCTCCCATAATCCCCTGTGTGGGGAGCCTACGGGTGCTCCTCAAGGGGAGCCCCATGTAGAGAGCATTGCAGTAGTCCAGGCGGGAGGTGACAAGTGCCTGAGTGACTGTGTGTAAGGAGTCCCAATCCAGAAATGGACGCAACTGGCGAATCAGGTGAACCTGATGAAAAGACCCCCTGGCCATGGCCATCACATGCTCTTCTAAAGACAGCCGTGCATCCAGAAGGACGCCCAAGTTGTGAGCCCTCTCCGTGGGAGCCAATGACTCGCCCCCAATAGCCAGCGATGGCACCAGCTGGCTATATTGGGACACCAGAAACCACAGCCACTTGGTCTTGGAAGGATTGAGTTGAAGCCTGTTACTCCCCATCCAGATCCACAAGGCCTTCAGGCACCAGGACATCACTTCAAGGGCATCGTTGGGATGGCCTGGGGTGGAGATGTACAGCTGAGTATCGTCAGCATACTGATGGAACTCCACCCCAAAGCCATGGATGATCTCACCCAGCGGCTTCACATAAACGTTGAACAGAAGGGGCGAGAGGACCGGCCCTTGTGGCACCCCACAAACAAGGCGCCTTGGGGTTGACCTCTGCCCCCCTGCCAACACCGACTGCGTCCGGTCAGAGAGATAGAAGGAGAACCACCGCAGAACAGTGCCCCCTACTCCCAACCCCTCCAACTGGCGCAGCATGATACCATGGTCGATGGTATCAAAAGCCTCTGAGAGATCTAACAGGACCAGGATAGAGGAACAACCCCTATCCCGAGCCCTCCAGAGATCATCCACCAATGCGACAAATGCTGTTTCCGTGCTGTGCCTAGGCCTGAAGCTGGACTGGAGCGGATCCAGATAAATAGCTTCATCCAGGTATCCAGGAAGCTGTTGCGCCACCACACTCTCAACAACCTTCACCACAAAGGGAAGGTTGGAGACCCGACGATAGTTAGCCAAAACAGCCAGATCCAGAGCGGGCTTCTTGAGGAGGGGCCTCACCCCCGCCTCTTTCAAGGTGGGTGGCAAGACACCCTCACCCAAGGAAGCATTGATAATCCCCTGGAGCCAGCCTCACGTAACCACCTGGGAGGCCAGCACCAACCAGGAGGGACATGGTCCAATAAATATGTGGTCGCTTTCAGCCACCCCAGTATCCTGTCCACGTCCTCGGGAGCAACAGGGTCAAACTCCTCCCAAATGACATTCTCAAGACCGGCCTCCATCATCCTGTCTGTACCTACCCAATCAGAGACCAGGCTTCCTGAATCTGAGTGATTTTATCGTGCAGATACCTAACAAAGTCCTCAGCATGACTCTGCAAGGGATCCTCCCACACTCCCAGATGGAGGAGGGAGCGGGTCACCCTAAACAGGGCAGCTGGGCGGTTATCTGCCGATACGATAAGAGCAGAAAAATAGTTAGATTTTGCCACTTTTATCGCCACAAGGTAGGTCTTAATATGAGACCTCACCCGTGTTCAGTTGGATTCGGAGCGACTAGACCTCCAACTGCTCTCTAGGCATCTTTTCTGGCGCTTCATCTCCCTCAGCTCCTCGGAGAACCAAGGAGCCAGGTAAAATTGGCGATGGGTCAGAGGTCGCAAAGGCATGACTCGGTCCAAAGCATCAGCAGCCGCTCTATCCCAGGCGGCCACCAGCTTTTCAGCCAAGTCATGAGTCAAAGCCTCAGGAAATGGTCCAAGCTCCATCTGAAACGCATCAGGCGCCTGGGGCGGAACCATCTGGTCTGTTCCACCTCCCTGCAGCGGGGTGTGCCCGTTAGAAAGTTAAGCCTAAGGAGGGAATGATCCGACCATGACAAGGACTCAATCACCGCCCTGAGTCCGAAAGGAGAAGGGCGGTATAGAAGTTTGAATAATAGATAAATAAATAAATAAATCGCTACCACCCCTATTACTCATAAAGATTACTTTACGAACAAAAATAGAAAGATACTTTGATTCCTTCAATGGATGAGTGGTTACAAAAATTGATAGAGTTAGCAGATATGGCCAAATTGATTGCTTTGATCAAAAAAAAAAAACAATTACTTTTGTTTCTACTTGGAAACCTCTTCTGAACTTTGTGCTTGAGGTGGAAAAAATGAAACTTTGATTTTGGGTTTTATCGATTAATAGGTTTGTTGTTATAGAAATGGCTAGCTTATATTATTATGAAAAAGTAAAAAGTTGAGGTTTGATGTTATTATCTTATTCTACTGCACCAAAGGGAGTTGAAAGTCAGTTTCTTTTCTTTCTTTTTTTCCATTGCCCCACACTTTCCCCTACCCTTTCCCTCCCCTATTTTTCAACTGTTTTCTTTTGTATTTTTGTATTACATATTATAAACAAATAAATACAGAGAAAAATTATTCAGTGATATTTATATTATGGTACAAAGATACAATCACAGGAAATTGAATGAAATGAAATTATGTTTAATCTAAAAAATGGCATATAAAGGTTAAATTAACATCAAATGGGCTCACTGTGTTTTTGTAGATAGTAGAGTTTAAAACATATAGGTAGAAGTTCTCTTGAAAGAGGTTTAATAGAAACATGCCTGCAATAAAACGTGTTCATCAGGGGAATAGCCTGCAACAGGAATCTTTCTGTATTAGAAGCACTCAGCAGAATTTGGATCAATTTGACACAAAATGAGACAAAGTCTATCCATAGATAGGCCTGAGAAAACATACTGTATAAGGGTGAATAAACTCAGTCTCTTTTCCGATCCCACTTAAATTTAAATTATACATACACGCATATGCACACTTCATGTATGTATGTGTGTGTCCATGTCTCTCTCTGTGTGTGTACGTGTGTGTGTGGTGTGTGTGGTGTGTGTGTGTGAGAGAGAGGGGGGGGAGAGAGTATTCACTTAATATCCTGCTTCCCACCACTACATACAATGTTACACTCAATCCTCTTTCTATCCATACATCTGAGGAAAGTGAATGAAGGAGAACATTAAACCACCCAGAGAGTGAGATGGTTAAGGAGCTTCCATAGAGCAGTTTGTATATCTTTATTCCTTATACTATAAATGATTGGATTCATCATGAATGGCACAGAACAGTAAATCACAGTAGCTACCAGGTCAAAATCAGACGGACATCTTGAGATTGGCTTCAAATAGGCAAAGGCACAGATGCAGATAAATAAGGAGACAACAATCAGATGAGGCAAGCAGGTAGAGAATGCTTTCTGTCTTCCCTTCATGGAGGGTATTTTCATTACAGCTCTGAAGATTTGCATATAAGAAAGTATTATGAATATAAAGCAACTGAAAACCAGAAAGGCACTGAAAACTAGAATCCCAATTTCTATGAGATACAGGTCAGAGCAGGAGAGTCTTAATATCTGGGGGATCTCACAAAAGAACTGGTTGACAACATTGGAGCAAAATGTGATAGAGAAGGTGCCACCAACATGGACTAATCCATAGAGAAGGCCACTGACCCATGCAATTATTGCCATTTTCACACAGGATTCCCTGCTCATCATGATTGTGTAGTGCAATGGATCACAAATAGCAACAAATCGATCATATGCCATAACTGTGAGGAGAGAGACATCTACAGCCATAAAAAAGATGAGAAAAAACACTTGAGCAGCACATCCAGTATAGGAAATTGTTCCGATGTGGGTCATGGATTTGGGAATAGTGACAGAAATGGCACCAAGGTCAGCAACAGAGAGGTTTACCAAGAAGAAGTACATAGGAGTATGAAGGTGGGGATTAAGGACTATGACAGTGATAATTAGGAAATTACCCATCAGGGCCACCAAGTAAATTGCCAAGAACGTAACAAAATGTATAGTTTGAAGTTCTTGGATCTTGGATAAACCTAGAAGCTGGAATTCAGTCACCGTGCTTGTATTGAACATTTCTTCCTGTGAAAGTTTCAGGGACCTATAGAAAATCAAATAGTATACAAAATAGAATAAATGCTATCATATTTCTCAACCTGAAGTTCTTCCCTGTCATGCTACAGTACTGTGCCCTCATGAACTCGTGAACACATGTTCAATTTTAAGAGCATGTTATGGACAGTTCCATAATGCTGCCTCAATCAAGTTGGAATCTGTATATAATTCAAAGACTGTGAATAGTGGTATATAATTTGAACTCAGAAAATCAGTCCAAAATTAAGGAAAACCAAGCATATCTATCTATCTATCGATCTATCGATTGATCGATCTAATCTATCTATCTATCTATTTACCTACCTACCTACTTAGCTAGCTAGCTATCAGCATGAACAACCTAGATATCAGAAAGAATCATATTTGAAATATATCTATATTCATTTGGCTGTTTTTGTTTGCATTCCCTGGAAAAATGAAAAATTGAGACAAATTTAATCAAAACAGTTGTATAATTATATTACAAAATTATATTATATTCCAGGAATGCAAATTAACATGGTTCCAAATTATTAACTGCCTGCCTGCCTGCCTGCCTGCCTGCCTGCCGGCCAGTCTATTGGTCTGTCAGCCTGTCGGCCTGTCAATCTGGTCGGTCCATGCATGCATGCATCCATCCATCCATCCATCCAATCATCCATTCATCCATCCATCCATCCAGCTAACTATCATTCATCTATGATCTGTTTTGCCTCCAGTTTTATTGTTTTAATTTTTACCTGCTTGGAGTTGCTTCATTCTAGAGTCTTGCCCTGGAAAAGAAAAATTGTCTGTGACAAACTGAGCATCTCTTTTGCTTCTTGTCTCCCTTCACCATAACCCAAGTTATAATCTTCAATCTATACAAATATTCCAGCGAGATATACCCAGAAGAGTTGGGTGATAGATGATTGCATGTTTTCTGTATTTAGCATCACTGATTACTTGTGAGAATTGTGAATTGGAATTCTTTCTCTAAAGTTTTTACTGGATAACATCAGAAGCCAAACATGATTTATCTGTATAACATGTCCTTATGAAGAATACAAAAACTAATAGGTTTATTTTCATTATCCAGTTGTCCCATAATCAAAATGACCAATATTAATTTGTTTAGGATAGGAGCAGACAATATTACTTTGTATGAATAATCCACTCTCCATGAAAGTGAGTTTAGGATGCGTTTTATGCTCGATTTTTGAAGAAACTTTTCTATATTATATAATTTCTAGGGTTGTACATCTCAAATAACATTAGTTTGTTGTAGCTAACTTCAGCAATCCATTGCCTCTTCGACTAAATCACTGCTTACCAGGCTTTTTAATGTGTTTTAGAGCTATTCTTACCATTAATATAACAATAGCACAATGGCTCTAAGATTTCTGAATTCAAAACTTAGTAGTAAATCCTTTTCTGCCTCCCCCCTCACAACATTCCTACATTTTCCTTAGTAAGTTTTTTTTTAATATTAAAAATATTTAAGCAATATTCAGAGCTTTTATCTGACACCAATATTTCTTATTCTTATTTCTCTGGTCACAAGATTGCAAATCAGATTACTCTGGATTGAGTATGAAAGTCTGATAAAGCAGTGCTTTCCACAGTTGTCTCTTTTTTTAAAAAAAACAAGAATGAAGGAGATTAGCAGGTTTAAAATGGAGTATAAGTTTCTAGACCTTTCTGAATATGAAAAAGAAATAAAAATATGTCACCAATTCTTTGAAATATAATGATCTTCCTCAATGCCAATTCAAGGAACTGACCAGCTCAAATAAAAGTTATAGCAAATTGCAATTAGTATTTTTGAAGTCTTTTTCTACTAATAAGTGGATCTTTGATTAAAGAAAATTTGCAGGGTCTAGACTCACATATAGAATAAAATGAATATTCTGGGAATAAAAGAAGGATAGAGTCAAGATGAAATCATACTGAATGAATTTGGATTGAACACAAAAATCATCATTATGAAAGAAGAACCTTGGGATAGTTTGATTACATAGGGAAGAGAAAATGAAAAAGAGATGACTGACAAAATTATGATTGGAGGGAGCCTATTATCCATCTATCTATTTATCTATCTATCTATCTATCTATCTATCTATCTATCTATCTATATATCTATCTATCTATCTATCTATCTATCTTCTATCTATCTATCTATCTATCATCTATCTATCTATCTATCTATCTATCTATCTATCTATCTATCTATCTATTTATCTATCATCTATTATCTTCCTTCCTTCCTTCCTTCCTTCCTTCCTTCCTTCCTTCCTTCCTTCCTTCCTTCCTCCTTCCTTCCTTCCTTCCTTCCTTCCTTCCTTCCTTCCTTCCTTCCTTTCTTTCTTTCTTTCTTTCTTTCTTTTTCTTTCTTTCTTTCTTTCTTTCTTTCTTTCTTTCTTTCTTTCTCCTACCTACATTTTTTAAAAAATAAATAACTTGAGGCAGTGAACATACAAATGCTACTTTCTTTTTTTTCTTCCTATTTGCCCACAAAATAACCCTGATGGTTGATTTCAGTAATCAATATTCTTTAGTGTTCAATATTGAATAAGACTAATTCAATAATGAGAACTAAACAAAAGGAAATGAATTGTGTAAATGCAGTATAGATTATGGGATGTAGGTTCATTAGATCTGAACCAATTTACAACATACTGTACACCTTCTTGAATTTTTTTCCCTTTTTATTAGCAAAATTAAGCATGTTTCAAATTTTCCTTTCATCCATATAATATATTTCAGGCAATATTTCTTTACACCATGCTTACTTTTCTCCACTTTTCTGATTTTGCTATGGCATAACCATAAAGCACCAGTTTAATTACTGTATGCCTAGCACTGTACTTCAAACCTACTTACATCTAAATTTATGTGGAACTTACAGGGTTGATTTAATGTATACAGTTCTTCTATAATTCCTTCCTACTTCTTTCTTAGAGTAATCTACTGTATGTATGCAGGCCGGCAGTCTTCTAAACTGGTTTTGGTTTATAAGCATAGCATCATTATCTCGTTCCTCTCCTCCTCCCCTTCCTCCCCCCTCCCCCTCCTCCTGGCGTTCCATGTTCTTTGCAAGGCCTTTATTCTTCCTTCGATTCAATTTCTACTGTGCCCACTGCTGAGCTATGGTTATTTTGAAAAAAATATTTTTATTTATTTATTAGTCATATTTCTATGCCGCCCACTCAGACTATGGGCGGCTTTCACCAAAGACAGTATACTAAATAGCATATTGCCCCTAACAATCTGGGTCCTCATTTTACCCACCTCAGAAGGATGGAAGGCTGAGTCAACCTTGAGCCGGTGAGATTTGATCCAGTGATCTGCTGAACTAGCAGTCAGCTGAAGTAGCTGCAGTACTGCACCCTAACCACTGCGTCACCTCGGCTCTTAACTCATCATAGCTCTATAGATATAAGACGTTTGATATGGGAGAAAAACTGGGAAGAAATAAAGGAATGAACAATTTAAGACATAAATATCTGAGTATGCATAGATTTTTGGAAACAAGTAGTCTTAAAAGATGCTGAGTTGTCAGTAATTGCTTTAAATTAAATAAAAGAGCATACATTCTTAGCAATTTTAGAATTGGGAATGCAAGAGTCATGCTATGCATGTAATGAAGTCTTTCACATACATGCATACAGTGCAATAATCTACAGGAAAGAAGACTTTTTGTTTGCAAAGAAACATCCATAGAGATCTTAGAACCATCACTATGTTCTGCTAGGACTCTGGATTAACAAAAGTGCTTTTATTATTCATAAATAATTAACCATAGTAAAGTATTGGGAGTGGTGGGTGTGGGAAAATTTCACCAGAATTCAATTGCCTTACCACCTTTATTATTTTCATGAAGAGGCTAAGAACATCTGGCCAGAATAGGCAGTCCAGCCCACAATCCCAATAAGGTCTTTCAACATATTATCCCTAGATTCTGATTCTTCATAATTCAGAAGTCAAATAGTCATTAAGAAGAAAATTGAATATTTTGGCACATTGTCTAACATCAAGCATTAAGTACTACAAAACTGTGATAGATTTGTTCACCAAAATCAAAACAGTCAAATTCATTATGATTACAACATTGTTCTATTCAGCCTTATACAAAGAACCTGCTGCCTTAAAATTAATTTTTAAAAGGTTTTAGAAAACAATGGCTATTTAACCCCCAAACCTTCTCCCCTAAATTCCTTGAATTATTTTACGAAGTGCCCGTTGTACATCCTTGTTTCTTAAGCTGTAGATAATTGGGTTAAGCATAGGTGTTAGAATCCCATAGAGCACTGGTAAAGCATGATCTTGCTCTTGAGAGTAAGTGGAATTAGGGCGTATGTAAGTGAAGATGATGGTGCCAAAGTAGATGTTCACTACAGCCAGGTGAGAGGCACAGGTGGAAAATGCCTTGCGACGTCCTTCTTTACTCCGAATCCTGAGTATTGCTAAGGCTATATATACATAGGACAACAGAGTCACTAGGAAGGAACCCATGATTATACCTCCTCCAAATACAAAAGTAGCAATTTGATTGATCTGAGTATCAGTGCAAGACAGTTGGAAGAGAGGTGGGATGTCACAGAAAAAATGTTCTATGACATTGTCCTCGCAGAAGGACAAAGAGGTCATAAGGCCAGTGTGGATACCTGAGTTAGAGAAGCCAAGAATCCAAGCAGTTACTGCAAGCCAAATGCATACTTTAGGCCGCATGAGCACACCGTAATGCAGTGGGTGGCAAATAGCTGCATATCGGTCATATGCCATGATGCCCAACAAAAGACATTCAATGCCACCAAAGGAGATGAAGAAGTACATTTGGGACAAGCAGCCTGAGAAAGAGATCCGTTTATCATCACAGAGATAATTCATTAACATCTTGGGAACAGTGGAAGTTGTATAGCCAATATCTACTACAGAGAGATTGCATAGGAAGAAATACATGGGGTTATGGAGTTTGGCATTTAAGCTGACAATAAGAAGGATAAGTATATTTCCAACCACAGCCATCAAATAAATCATAAGGAAGACACCAAAGAGAATGAGTTGGGCCTGAGGGTTGCTGGAGAGTCCCAGGAGTATAAATTCAGTGACAGAAGTTGAATTCTGTATCATCTTATATTGAGGATTCATCTGTGAAGGAATATAACAGAACATTTTTTCCAGTTATTTTTCTACCAAGGAATAAGACCTGAAATAGAGGTCTTTTACATGCAAATAAAAACCCAAAGCCTTTGGAGGCTATCAGTTCTGTTTAAATTAATAATAAGGGTTTTGAAGCACAGTATACATTGTAAAATAAATACATATATTAAGATAGCATTACAAAAAATACAAAAAAAGTCACAAGAATTTCTTAAAGGAAATTAAAATTATGAGATTTTTAAAAAAGAACCTGATTCTAGTTTACACTGACATTATTTTTTGTACTCTCTGCTTATTTTATTTGTTTATTTTATTATTTTGCAGACTATTTTTGTTCATACAATCTATCTGTTTCATCAGTGGTAGGTTGCCCCTGGTTCGCACCGGTTCTATAGAATAGGTAATAAAACTGGCGGGAGGCTCCGCCCACCGACCCTGACATCATCAAAATGCTTCTGCACATGCACAGAAGCTTGTGCGCTTGTGCGCGCATGGCCCCGTTGCAAACTGGTAGTAAAGGTAAGTAGAACCCACCCCTATATTTCATATATTGTTTTTGGTCCTTATATTTCTCATCTCTGTTATTTTCCTGCTCGTCCCTTACTTTTGTTTCAAATACTTTTATTTCACAAATTTATTTTGCAGATAGGTCCA